TATTATTATTATTATTATTATTATTATTATTATTATTATTATTATTATTATTACATCCGAGTGTAGAGGAATACGCATTAGATTTATTTTCGGATGTGTTTTCTTTTTCGTTTTTTCATATATATATATATATATATATATACATATAAACACACATTTTTAGTGCATAAACGTTCTCCTCTGCACGCATACGTTGTGCAGTATACGGTTATTACGACGATAGCAGTAACGCGCGACGTTACATTCGATGCAGCTCGGCGAGCGCGGAGGGAACCGTCTGGTATTTCAGTTGTCGCGGCCGCCCGGTACGTTTTCCGGTGATCCTTCGCGTAACTTCCGCCCGTCCGCGAAAAAGTCCTTTTTCGAACGTTTTCGTCGCATCCAATTTTTTTTGCCCTTCTCATCGTTTCCCGGTCCCGGTACACTCGCCAAGTCTACCGACCGTGCACGGCGCTCGCCCGATTCCATTCGAATTACTGTACACGAGCTGCGTACGGCGTGCGTCCGCAGTCGTCGCGAGTTCGCCGCGCCGCCGTCGCGAGTTCGCCGCTATTGATTTTAACTTTTTCGACGGGGAAAAAAAAACACACACACACACACACGCGCGCGCCGCGCGCGCGTACACGGGCGCGCACGCATACGTCGTCGTCGAGCAACATAATATATTCCTTCTCGGGGGCACGGCCACGATTACGACGGTCCTGTCCCCGCGCGGCGCATCGCGATCATACCGCACCCGTGGCGACCGGGGTACGTGACACGTTTTCGAGCTCGCGCGCGCGTTCGGTCGCGCTACTACGCCCCTACGCCATATGGGGGTGCGCGTTGTCCGTGTGCGTCTGGACGGGGTAGACCGATGCGAACGGAATCCGTCAAGAACCGGTCGTACGCGAAACGTTATGACGCGCGTCCGAGCGCGTTAAACAGCGTTATGAATCGGCGGCGGACAGGGGGATTCGAAAGGAAACGATGCGCGACCGGTACACCGCTGATACGCACACGTGCGCTGCGCGTTTTCCGACGGACCGACTCGGGACAAAACCCTCGCGCGCTCGGCGATCCGTCGCACGGAAGACCGGTCAATTCCGCACCGATTCCGGTCGGCGGTGCGGAAGTCGCATCCCTACCCACCCA